GCCCCTTGCCAGTCCCCCCAGCTCCTCCCAGCCCGGGATCCCCCAGCGCCCTCGCCACGTCCGTCCCCCCACAGCTCCTCCAGCCACGGATCCCCCCACGCCCCTCGCACGTCCCCCCCCCCACCAGCTCCTCCAGCCGGGATCCCCCAGCCCCTTGCAGTCCCCCCAGCGTGCTGAGGGGGTTTGAAGCAGACACTTTCGGTATCAGAGCGGTCGTGCGGGGGGTGGGGGGGGAACCTGACACCCGGCTCGGGAAGGACACACGAGCCAAGACCGCTCCAGTCCACGAGCGAACAATTCGCCCCAACGAGGCCCCAAGACGCACAGGAGGGAGGCGGAGGCAGCGGGCGCGTCCCATCACAGACCCAGCAGCACGTCCCCAGCCCGCGGCTGCCCCGAGGGGCCCAGCCGCTGGCAGAGCTGGGAACCCCCGGGCCGGGGCCCACAATTCAAGGCAGAGAAAGCGCAAAGTCTCTGGCGCATCCAGCGGGTGCAGAATCAACTCGGACGGGCATGAAGCTGCCAGAGCGGGTGGGGGGGGTCTGTCCCCTTCTGGGGGGGGGAGGCTTTTTCAGGCAATTAAAGAGCCTCAGGTGGGCCCCACCCAGTGCTGCCACTGCCAAGGGCGGCAAGCGGCCGCCGAGCCTGGGGCTGCTCAGGGGATGGAGATGCTCAGTGCAGCGCGAGTCACTTAACGAACTGGGGGGGGGGGGGCTGGATTATTGTTCACTCAGTGCCTGCAGCACCTGCCTCCCAGAGCGGCCGGCCAGCGGGGTCACTGGCACGGCCCCATCGGCTCCCCTGCAGCAGCTGGGGGGCCACCAGCCCCTCGCCTGGTCTCCCGCAGGGGCCGGGGGGGAACCACAGCAGGGACACTTCCCTCTCCAATTTGCCATGGGTGCAGGAGGGTCTGAAAATCCCGCCCCACCCCACAAAGGGAACCGGAGCCAAAGAAGTCTGGAAACGCAGGAGCGTGACCGCGGGGCCTCAGCCCCACTCAGCCCCATGCTCGGACAGACGGACAGGAGAGAACGCTGCAGCCAGTAAATCTGTAACAACCAGCCCCCTCCCCCCGGTCCCCTGCAATGGGGACCCACAGCACAGAGCAGCCGCTGGTCTGTTCTCCCCCCGGGGGTCCCGCCCTGCTCAGCCCCAGCGGCACAGCTCTCCGGGGGGCTCTCCATGCCAAGTGGGGGAGGCAGGGAGACCGGGGCATCCCCCGCCAAGCTGGAGCAAAACACAGACAGCCCCAATAGGGTCCCTGCACAGGCAGCCGGACACAGACGGACCCTGACCCCCGCGTCAGCTGCCCAGCAGCGTGCGGGGCACCCAGACGGACAGATACCACCCCCCACCCAGCCGCTCACGCAGACGGACGGACGCAGGCACACGGATGGACAGACAGACACCCCCCAACACACACACAGCCACTCATGCAGACACCCGGCCACGGGGCACCCAGATGGACGGACACCGTCCCAACACACACACAGCCGCTCCCGCAGACACCCAGCCACGGGGCACCCGGACGGACACCCCCCCAGACACAGCCGCTCCCGCAGACACCTGGCCATGGGGCACCCGGATGGACAGACACCCCCCCAGACACAGCCGCTCCCGCAGACCCCCGGCCACGGGGACTCACGATTTTCTCCGAGGTGCCGGCCCGGGAGATCGTGGTGCCGTTCAGCCCCACCAGGGAGGGCAGCGTCTGCGACATCCAGTTGGTGACCATGGCCATGGTGCTGAGCACGGCTCCGATCTTCAGCAGCGGCACGGTCATGTCGGCCCCTGCCTCATCCCCCCTCGGTGGGGCGGCAGCCTGCTTCCCAACCCTCGGCTCCCGGCCCAGGGAGCCCCCTCGCGCCCCCGCTCGCCAGCCGGCCCCCCAGCCTCCTCCGGGGCTGAGAGCGAGCCGGAGAGAGCCGCGCGGCTCCGCTCCCGTCCTTATAAAGCGCCCAGCTGGAGCGAACCCCCGCTCCGCTCCCCATCACTTCCAGCCGAGTGACGTCAGCTGGCGCTGGCCACGGGCCGGCCAGGCGGGGGGAGCCGAGCAGACATGGCACCGGGAAGCCCTGGCCATCTGGCCCGGTCTCCGCAGAGCCCTGGGCTCCCAGGGGGGCAGCGGGGGGAGACGGGGGCTTGTCTCTGAGCCTCTAGCACCAGCCGTGAGCTTAGGGGGTTGTCGAGGAAACGGGCAGGAATCCGGGGAGGGGGGTTACGAGAGCTCTGGGGAAGGACACATCAAAGCGGTGAGATGGGGGGGCTGGTCACTGGTAGAGCATCGCACAGGGGGCCCTGTCAGTCACTTAGGACCTCGCCAATCGTCAGCCAGCTGCAGGGAGAGGCCCTGGCCCCACGTGGGGGCTCCGGGGGAGGGGTAGCTAGCAGGATGGGAAGGGCCTGCCCCCCCCCCAGGGTTGCCCCAGAGCAGGAGGGAGGGGGAATGGCTGACAAGGCCAGGACCCCAGGACCTTGCAGTCCCCACAGCCCAGCTGCCCCCTCCCTGGAGGGACCCGACCCTGCTATTGCTGCTAACCCCCCCAGGCAGGGAAGAAAGTGCCCAGACACCCTGGTGGTGGCACCGGACCGAGCCCAGACACAGGGGAACAGACCAGGCCACCTGGCCAGAGGCTGCTGCCAGAGACCTGCCGAGCCCTCCAGAAGGGGGGGGGGGTTTGCGTCATTCACAATTTTAATTGTAAACTCCCCCCGCCCCCCTCTGCCGGTGCCCCTCACTCCTGACCCGCAGCCCCTGCTAGCCCAGCCCTGGGCTCCCCCCAACCCAGGTCTGTCAGTGCCTCTCGATCGTAACTCTCCGCTCCTTCCCCCCAGCCCGGTACAAACCCTGTGCCGAGTCTCCCCCGCCTGCTGCCTGCTCCCCACAGGGGCTACACGGAGCCAGACACCGAGCGCATGGGGCAGGACACGGGTACTACCCCCGTTGTGCGGGGGGCGCCTGGGGCACCCTCGCTCAGCGGGGATGGGTCACAGGGCCAGGTGCCCGGCAGCCTGCGCTCCAGCCCTGCCCCTCCCCACTCCAGACAGAGGCCCCGGGGCCCGCACGTGCCCCCTCTCTGTCACGAGCGGGACTGGCCCCTTTGCCCCCCGGCTGCGGCGCTGTGACTGCAAGAGCCGGCGCAGAGGCTACGTGAGCGTCCCCCCAGCACCCCCCACACACACCTGCCTCAGCCCAGCCCCCCCCCCGGTTAGTTTCCAAGCCCGGCGTCGCCACCTGCTGGCCACACGGACGTCTCACTACCTCGGATCGGGCCAGAGAGCAGCTCCCTCTTCATGCTGGGACAGAACCCGAGTCCTGGTTCCCAGCCCCCTGCTCCAACCACTCGACCCCACTCCCCTCCCAGAGCCAGGGAGAGAACCCAGGAGTCCTGGCTCCCAGCCTCCTGCTCCAACCACTCGACCCCACTCCCCTCCCAGAGCCGGGACACAACCCAGGAGTCCTGGCTCCCAGCCCCCTGCTCCAACCACTCGACCCCACTCCCCTCCCAGACCTACAGATAGAACCCAGGAGTCCTGGCTCCCAGCCCCCTGCTCCAACCACTCGACCCCACTCCCCTCCCAGGCCTACAGATAGAACCCAGGAGTCCGGGATCCTGCATCCACAGAACTCAGTACACAGGAAGGAGTGTTTGTTTTGTTCACATTAACATAATTTCTATGATGGGAGCCCTTTCTGGCCGGGCGCTGCCCAGATGCACGGCGACCGAGATCGGGGGCCCCGTCGGGCCGGGTGCTGCCCAGCCGCACGGCGACCGAGATCGGGGGCCCCGTCGGGCCGGGCGCTGCCCAGACGCACGGCGACCGAGATCGGGGGCCCCGTCGGGCCGGGCGCTGCCCAGACGCACGGCGACCGAGATCGGGGGCCCCGTCGGGCCGGGCGCTGCCCACACACAGCAACAGACAGTCCCTGCCCGGGAGAGGTGTCAGTTGTGTGACTTCGGGCCCTGGTTCAGCACGATGTAACGCTCGGCACTTGGCTGAATCGGAGCCCCCGTCCTGAGTCCAGAATCCGGATTCCCATTGCCCGGAGGGCGGCTGTGGCTGTTCCTTGGGTGGGGGCTGGGCTGGGCTCCATCGCCGTCCCCGTCCCCAGGGGCTGCTCTCCGAGGACGGGCTCCCTGGGGCTGAGTGCGCTTTGGACGTGCTCTCCGCCCCGCCTAGCGCTGGGAACCCAGACCAAGCCGGACTGAATGGTGCTGCAGTGCCACCTTGTGGGGACGAGCAGTCACTGCGTGTGCACACACACAGCGAGACAGGGCCCATCTAGCCCGGTATCCCGGCTACAACAGCAGCACCACACACACACACACACACGCACACACACACACGAGTCCCTAGGCCAGCCCAGGGCCCATCTAGCCCGGTATCCCGGCTACGACAGCAGCACCACACACACACACGCACGCACACACACACACCGAGTCCCTAGGCCAGCCCAGGGCCCATCTAGCCCGGTATCCCGGCTCCGACAGCAGCACCACACACACACACACGAGTCCCTAGCCCAGCCCAGGGCCCATCTAGCCTGGTATCCCGGCTCTGACAGCACCACTGCTGTGGAGGAAGGCGCCCGGAGCCCTGCGGGTGGCAGCGGTGGGATTCTCGGCCCCGGGGAAGCCCCCGGCTGACCCCTGCAAGTTAGATGTCAGGACGCAGGGGGTCTGTGGCCCAGCCAGACCTCCTGGGCCCGTTCTGCCCCTCAGTGATCTAACTAGGGACGTACTTGTTAGCCACAGAAACGGCTGGTCCCTTTTCTCAGCTCTGCCCAGCTCTCGGTTGCACAGAGACTGTCAGTTCTTTGGGGCAGTGTCTCCATTCAGTGTCTGCACCACGCCCTCACCCTGGGGCCCTGCCGTAACACCAGTAAACAGCACTTCTCATCCTGGGTGAACCCTGTGGCAGAGAGTTCCACCGGCCCACGCCTCTTCCTCTCTCCCGTTTGGAACCTGCTGCCTTCCAGCCTCGCTGAGCCTCGCCCAGGCCACAGGGGTGGGAGCGAGACAGTCACTCACCCCCCCCCCCGCATTTATCCATCACGCAAACCCCTGCACCAGGTGCTACTTGGGCTCCGGCTCCCCCCCCCCATCGGTGGGGTGAGTGGAGGCGGCCTCAGGCCAGGCTGGCTGCAGGGGGCTCTTCCGAGTGCCTGGGGGGGGGGTGCAGTGGGGAGACAGGGATGAAGCCGAGGGGGCAGACTCCGGTGGGCAGAAAAACAGAGCCCGGGGGAGTAGGAGGGGCAAGGTGGGTGCAACCCCCTCCCCCCAGGGCTCCGGGTGAGGTGTCTCAATCAGGCACACAGACCCACCCAGCCTCAGCTAGGCAGAGCTTGCAATGGGGTGAGACGCAGGGCAAGGGGGGAATCAGCGTCACTGCCCTGTGCAGCCAGTTCCAGGCAGGGGGCAGGCAGGCGGTGCCCAGATGCTGCGGGAGGCTCCCCCCAAGCTCCCTGGAACTGGCACCCTGAGGGTCGAGGCCCAGAGACCCCAGGTCTGTCCCATCTTCCCTGCCCCCGCGCCAGGCTGCATGCCAAGGACACTGCCCTGTGCGTGGTTGGTAGCCGCGCCGGACGCCGCAGCGCTGCCCTGCCCTGACTGAGACGGGGCGTCCTGGTGCCTGGCGCAGGCAGGGACCCAGCGAGCGTCAGGAGGCAGCAGCAGCCCGCACGTCGCACCAGCCGAGTCCCCGCAGGCGACGGGCTGGGGCTCAGCGGCCACGGAGTGCGGGCAGCACAGCTGTGCGCTGGTGTGATGGGGAGACCCTGCCCTGCCCCGTCCCCGCCCCGCCCCCCTGCCGGCTCCCTCCCAGCCTCTGCCCCGGACCCTTCACGCTGCCACTTTGCTGTGCCCAGAGTGCCCAGCCCTGGCCCTCTCTCTGCAGGACTCTGGCCAGCCGGGGAAGAGAGACCCCCATGAGGGAAGCCCCTTGCCCCGCCTGGGGCACCCAGCTCCCGACCGGCATCCCAGCAGCACCCACAATGCCCAGCCTGGCTGAAATACGCACACCGGCCCCGCTCTCTGGGTCGCCCGCAGGGAGATGGCTCTGCCCGTGGGGCCAAGGGAACGGGAGCTGGAGGCGTTGAGGTACCCGCCCCACGGAGGGGGCACAGACACCTACACGGGAAGTGTGTATTGTTACACTATAAGCCAGAGATCAGTGACCTCCTGTCACGGAGTCCCCGGGCGATACTCTGGAACTTCTCCCCACAAAGCCAGTCAGGACTTTGGGGAGCCTCCTCTCCCTCGGAGCAGACCATCTTCAGGGCAAGAAGCTCACACGGCTTCACCTTCCTGGGTCTCTCCTGGGAGCATTCAGCATATGCCCCACCGCGCGCTTCTCACAGCGAGTCCGCCCCGGCGGGGTCCTGCACCCCCAACTTCGCAGTCAGATGTGACTCTCGGCCAGCCAGTAAAACAGAGGTTTATTAGGTGACAGGAACACGGTCTAAAACAGAGCTTGTAGGTCTAGAGAACCGGATCCCTCAGCCGGGTCCATTCTGGGGCCCAGCGAGCCAGACAACCCCATCTGCCCTCCCTTCCCGTCCCCAGCCAGCCCCAAACTGAAACCCCCTCCAGCCCCTCCTTCTCTGGGCTTTGTCTCTTTCCTGGGCCAGGAGGTCACCTGATCTCTTTGTTCACTTTTAGCTATTTCCTTGCAGGGGGGAAGGGCCACAGCCATTTGTTGCCAGGGAGACAGAGTGTCAGCCATTTATGCACACTGGAGACTTAAGAAATGCATAGGGGAAACTGAGGCACCCACCCAGTATTCAGAGGAAACATTAAGAACAGTCCCACTTTGTCACACCCCCCGCGGAGCCCAGCACCCAGCTCCAGCACCCACCTCAGCCCTCACTGATTCTCTTCTAATTTGCCCAACCATAGTGTAATCACTGGGAATCTGCATGTAAATTGCTCGTTAATTCAGGCTCGTTATGTGGCATTTAGTGCCGTGCTGGGGAACGAAACACGGTCATAAGGAGAGAATGAGCAGGGAGGCAGCGCAGCTCCCCGGGGAGAGGAGAGTCAGACACATGCACACCCCCAAACTTGTCCATGGGCGCCAGAGCCAGAGCGGGGCAAAGGCGCCCTCAGGAGACAG